CAAAGTATTGAGTTTCATCTTCAGGATCTGGCCTTCTAAAGAATTGAGGGTTGATCTCCTCTAGGACTGACTGGTTTGATCACCTTGCAGTCCAAGGAACTCACAGGAGTCTTCTCTAGCACCATAATCCAAAGGCCTCAATTCTATGGCACTCAGCCTTCCTTATGATGTTTGACATATTATCGATCTTCAATAGTTTTTGCTTATCTGGTAAATTTTGGCAGCATGCTGTGCTCCAAGTTCTTTTGACTATATAATGCCATCTGTAAGGATTTACGAACTTAACCTGAATATGTTTGTAATTCTTGTGAATCTAGTAGCCTATGCAAAATTTCCAAAAGGGTGTTTCATTTTGCTGAAGGTTTGTGCAAAGCATTTCTTAAAAGGTGCTTCCTATAACCATGCAGTCTTCTTGCTTCTAAAGACAGAGTGGATATATCGGCCCTGCTTTGCACTTTCTTCCAGTATCCAAAGTGCCAATCCTGGTTGCAAAGTCACACAAAGTACACTGACAACTCATGTTACTTCAGTGAGATGAATTGTGATTTCTCAACTCTAAAATAATTGAGATAATTCTACAAACCACATTGTAGTTTAACATAACAGAAGATTAGCATCTTATGTCACTACTGTCAAAAAAAAAATCCCTCCATTTTTAAAGGGTGGTGGTATCAAGGAAAGAAACAAGGAGCTTGGGACCATATAACACTGTTTTGGGGACCCAGGCTTGCTGCTGGCCCAATATTAGGCAAAATGAAAGTGCTTCTTCCTTCATGATTTGCAGAAGCTGAGCAGCAAAACTTACCCCTTTGCAAAAAGCAGACAGTGGCACAAACCTTTCAAATAGTGCATGTAAAGCATTGTTGTGATTAATACTTCACCTGGTTAATGCTGGGGTTTATGATGGTGCTGTTAGGGTCTGCCATCTTCTGTTCTCACCTTGAAAGGGAGAAAGAAAATAGTTGATCCATCAAGTTCATTTAATGGCAAGAGAGCAAATATCAGACTTATGGCATTCTTTACTCTATACCCCAAAGAGGAAGAAAACACTTTCACATGTCTGTGCTGTGATATGCTGTAAGATAGAGTGAAGCAATAAGCTTTCTGAGGTAAAAAAAAACAAAAAACAAAAACCAAGATGGTGTTCCTTCCATGAGCAAAAGCTTTCTGATAATGTTGGCTATGGAGACATCTTCCACTGTTCTTGAAGGCAACAGACTAGCATAGCAGATACGGAGTTGAGGAGAAGGCCCACTTCTACTTTCGGGGAGTGCTATATACAAGCACTGGCTGTCTGAAGTTCATTTTGATTTGATTGATTTGATTTTGATTTTATTTGTCTTGTATGCCGCCCACTCCCGAAGGACTCCGGGCGGCTCACAATAGACAAGGGAAAGGGGGAAAACTGGACAGAGACAACACTTTAAAAACAAAACCACAACATTCACAATTTCCGTGGGGCTGGATATTTCACAGCCC